TCGAAAATTTACTTAGCAAACAAGCATCTGCAAATAGATAACCAAATATACTTATATATATATATATATAATGTATAATCCATTAATAAATTAAGTGCAAACTTTAAGTTGTGTAAAAAATCAAGCGGCAAGCATAGTAAAAGAAGCCAAGAATGCCTCTTATATAAACGAACCATGCTAGTGGTGATTCCGAGACAGCATCGAAGTTTGACGGTTCATCGTAGCATTTTAACAAACGCCAGCGAACTTCAGTTTCAGACAGACCAAGTAGTTCTGGTTCAGACAAATTGTAGAGCTGCTCCTCTGCTGAAAGGTAAGTTGGCTCATCCCTAATGCCGAGCGCCTTTCTAGCCAGGAGAGGTACTATAGGTGGTTGTAGATGAGATCTATCAAACTTGTGCATTCTGTGAACGAATGAAGAAGGGATCTCAACGCTGCCTTCTTGGCCCTGTGGAAAATGAAATCGCTGATCATGCTTTTGTTGCTTGTGAATATCGTAAGAATGGACCAAGTTGTTCTTAGCGAGATTAGATCTACGTTGCCCTAAAGGGGCTTGATTTGCCCCGTCAGTCTGACCAGCAGTGAAATTCAGCATGCTGGAGAGCAGAGGTTTAGAAGACTTGGTGAATTTGTCTAAGTGTGTAATACAATTTTGTTGGTTGCTTGATTTGGCAGCGAGCATGCCGATAGAAGACAATTTATTAAGTGTTTCAATGTCCTCACTATCGCCGAGTCTGCAACTGGAGGGAATCGAAACACGGGGTGAGGAGAGTTGATCAGCAGCCGATCCTGAGATGTTGGAAACAGAGACTCCAGTGCATCCAATTGGCTGAGCATGATTTTTTAATTCACCGAGATTTAGCCAATCTGCATCGTAGTGGTTCACTGATCCATGAACATGAAAATGAAGAGGGAATTTGTGGTGTATAAAAAAATTTTGAACCAAGACCATGTAAAGACACATTAGAAAGAAGACAACATAATCCGATTATACGTTTACAGGTTAATAATACCCCCGTAAATTCAAAATTTTCAGCAAAACTAGCTGGAAGTACAAAGCCTTAATTATCAATTATAAACAAATTGGGCTGCTCAAAAACCGGAGTATATATAATCTACGATCTTGTAGCAAATGAAACAAGTATAAGCTTAGATTGATTAATCAAAGAGCTTTCTGGATATTAAACAATTTCTTAATACGTTTGAGTGAAGTATTCAATAAATTAAGGTTCTGAAAAGTTTTGTAAAATTTACCACAAAAAAAACTTGGAATGAAAAAAAATATGAAAAGAATACATTTGGAGGTTAAAATGAAATAACAATTTCAGTAGCATAAGGAGCGATGCAAGAGAAAGGCCAAAAATGAACACCTAAAGAGGATGAAATTGATCTGATAATGAATCATATAGCAAGAACTTGATGTTAAATAATAAGGTTGAGTTCTATATGACGTTCAAGTTGACGCAGTCCATAAGACATCGTTCCTCGCTTCGGGTGAAAATGAGCTAAGTTTTTGTCCATCATCAGAAGTGGAATTCAATCGCGTAAAAGTCCCAAGCTAACATTAGGTAAAGAAGACTATCCGGCTCTCTCTTATCTCGGGATAGCATAAGGATGAGCGGAGAACTTCTTCGCAGAATATTACAGTCTTTCTTACGCATAATCCTCCTTCGGTTTTCGTTGAGACCACATAACAAATTCCTTCCAAACAGGTTTCCTTCGAAATGGAAAGTCATGTCACAAGCTAAGATGATTGTTCATTAGATTTAGCTCCAGCATTTATAAAATTGTCGATTTGACAACCAAACAAGCATAAGAACACGTTTTCATTTTCTCTGATTATTAAGCCCTATTAGGCTGATGTTGTAGTGACTTATACAGCAGTCAACGTTTTGGTGCAATCATCTATATTTCGTATTCATGCGCTTTTTCATAGTTTTGTTATATTTATTCATATTGTCACAGCCCTATGCTACATCATTTATTTTGTTTATCATCTATCGTGTCCTCGTGAATACTGCCGTCTCTTAAAGCCCGCACTATATGCCGTGCAGGAAAACCAAATTTCGTCGCTGCATAGAGCCTGATTCTGGACCTAACAGACCGTGATCCTCTTATTCAATCAGAAGCCAGCTTTGAAATCACACAAGTGTTTTTATCAAAAAACAACTTAGGGCCTTACAGATTCTCCCGGGACCCGCCTTTGTTGGAATGGCTGGCTCGTTAAGCGCGCATGCCATCGTTCGCTAATCTCTTTCTCATATCAGCGGACTGCCTAATAATCAGCTAGAGGAAAGCCCCGACTCATGACCCAACTACAGCCTGGAGCCTTTCTTACAGCAACGTATCAAACTAGCAAATAGCTTACTGAATTTTAAAAGCGTGCAACTTCATTTGCCTTTCCAAATTTGTGCCACAATTTCTCAAGTCGCTCCTGAGCTCTTCTACACTCGCTAAGGTACAAATCAATCTGTCCTTATTTTAAGAAAAACCTCATTTAGCTTGCATCTATACCTCACAAAAGGTCTTCCAAAAACAGTTACGTCAAATCCGCGCATCCAGGCAAACCAATGCCACACAGAAGCATTGTAAACCTGCCGCATAACCGACTTCAAATCAACGCCACTTATCTGCGTTAAACATCTGCATCATCCTGCCCATTGAGGTTTTCACGCTGGCAACATAAATAAGGCAAACTCTTTTGGCTGCCTCGCTCCAATTAATCTTCCCTATTAATTCTACTGATTTTTGCATACAACTATTTAGCATATAAAACTTCTTATCATTAAGCAACTTTAGCACCACACCCTCTGGTCACTGTCTCCTTCATTAGGCCACAGGATAGATCTCGAAGTATGGTTCGTATCTAACATGAAGTCATGATTATTAAAATATAATTTTAAAAAAATTTAAAAATGAGGTATTTTCTGACGCAAGAAAATTAGCATAATTTTAAAAAATTCCGAATTCTTATGGATGAGGAGAGTAGCTGAACCAAAATGCTGGATGAAATAATTGGATACAGAAAGAATAAATGAAACATTATGGAAACTAGGAAAATGAATGCGAAATGTAGAAGAGCCAGCCTAATCAATGTGCAAAACATATGACAAAGTAAATGCACTAATGAGATCCCTACATAAGAAACTTTAAATATGAAAAAAATATAGCCTGACTTCATGATACACCAGTATCTTCGAAGTAGTCAGTAATACCTGCTTTTGCTTCTTCAATTGCAAAGTAAAAATGGAAGTTCAGAATTTTTGACTTATCTGAATTGATGTTTAGTCAGGGTCCCATCCCACAACTTTCCTTCCCGATAGCAGGCTCTAATAATTTAATAAGTTTAGATCAGCCACTGCACCAAACAGAAGATTTGGTTGTCCAAAATCCGAATTCAACTGAGTCCCAAATCATCTTCAAGAAAGATGAGAACAATAAAAGGTCCTTCTTATCTTAACTAGCATGTCACCCAGTACTAGAAAAATGTAGAGTAAAAAATATAAAGTATATTTATTAAGATGCAGATACCAAGTTCGACCCTGATTTAAGTAAAATTCGAGACCCAATTAAATCATATCTTCAGTTCAACGTAGGGAGATCAATCATCAGTGCATAAGATACGAATGTTCTCATCCTCAAAGTAAGCGGTATTTTGTACAAGTATATATAGATATATAAAGAGAAAGAGAAAGTATGTTCTATAAGTTATATGTAGCTCGTAATAAGCCAAAACAAAGTCCTGAAATACATCTAACTTAAGCGGATAAGTAGTTTATAGTTTATAAAATTCACTGACAAATTCGAATTTTTCATAGCTTCTTCATTCTCACAAAATTAGCAGAATCAAGTGTGTTTTTTTATTTATTGCTCTAAATTAATATCAAGAAATAAACAAGCCAAGGTAAAAGTTGACGAAGTAAAGAAGGCTTCAACATGAGGAAAAAAATGCAAATTACTTAACTGGGGCAAATTAATTCTAAAGCTGTGCGTAGACGGTAAAATTTATCACTTAAAGGCTTAATATAATTAGAAAAAAACGGAGAAAATTAAAACTGTCGGGAGCTAAATAGATTCAAAGTGTTGATCAAGTTGCTAATCTATGGCAAGATTGGCAAAGATTGCGATCCCAAGATGCTGTAAGATATGTATACGTAGTTCAAACCCCAGTATAATGAATATCGATATACCACAATTTTCAGAATGAAGAATTTTATTATTAAATTCAATAAAATGGAATTTTACTTCATCCGGTATAAATATTTAATTAACGCAACTTGTTTAGTTATATAAATATATATATCCACTGTATAAATCCACACATATATCCTCCTTGTCAAGTTAATGAAGAGCCAAATTAACAAAAAAAGACTTATTTAGACGATACCATAAGTAAAAATCGTTGGAATAAATATAGCTCATTATTAAGTTTACTTTGTGAAAACTACTATCCCAGTAGTACCAATTGTATCCCAATGCCTCCAATATATGCTGTTGGAAAGATAATATAATTCAAATGTAAGTATGAATCCGGAAGCGTGTTAAAAACGTTAACGAAAAAATTTCATAACGATAGGTCAAAGGTCATGTACCTTTTGAATAAAAATAAACTAAGGCCCAAAGTAACATCACCAGAATCTTATTGGACAAACATCTGAAGTAAAAATGCTCAAATTTCTCGCTCACCTGGCATGCTATTTAGAAATACTGCTTGAGACGACTGCTTTTGTGGCCCTTGTTCTCCGAAGCGTTGCTTCCTAGCCTCCAATTTTCGAATGGTAAAGTGAGTATCACAGTAAAATCTGGCTGTAATCGAGAATAGAATAAGTCAAATTATGGTGAAAAAAGCCGAAATATGATGCTACTGTATGAATTATGCCTAAATTGGGCAAAAAACATTCGCATAAATAACTTATCTGAGTAGTCAAAGGAACTTCGAAAAAGAAAAGGAAAAATATCTGTTCGATATAAAAATGATTAGGGGGAATGATTTTGCTTATCAATATGGCGAATTATAGCTCGTTGCTAATAATGGCATTACGTCCTGACGATGCTGACCCTAATGCAAACTAAAAGTCTAGTGTACCAATTAAAGGATCAGATTATATGAGAACACAGCAATGACAGAGGATATAGTATGACGAGCGTTTTCGAAGTGCCCCTGAGAACAATAAAAAATTGGGAGAATAGGAAAAATGTAAACGATATACAGACTATTTACTGTTATACATGGGGGGCTGAATTATAAAAAAGCAATACTAAAACATGTAATCGACAAATTATTGTAATATATTTTTTTAATGAATCAAGCCCTAATGGTCGATCCCCCTGATCTCGCGCCCACAACTCGGCGAATTTTACAGATTTCGAAAAGCTCAGAATGCCCTGTTTTAAAGCATTATTTAAAAATCTTGTCCTAGGGTATTAAAGCGATGGAGTTTAACAAAACGGAAAATATCTGGTATAATGATATGTGAAGCACATATATCAAGCTATATGCTATATTGAGACTATTAAAAAGAAATGTTGTTAAAGAAAGATCAAACAATAAAATTAAATGAATTCAAATAATATTGGTCATGAAACGTCTTGATTTCGTATTAATGGCTATATACAATAATACCAGTGTAAATAAATTAGTTCGAATAAAGTCAAATATAATAGTGGAGTTAAATTGTTCAATGTTAGTCGAATATACGGAACTAAAATATATTTATAGATATTAATTCTTTCCCAATTTTCAACCTGTGCATGAAGAATAATTAGAATTTGATTAGAATGAGTAATAATGAGAGTAATAAATAAATAATAGTATTAGGTTTTCTGATATTAAGTCGACATAAGATGAGGTAATACGTAAGCGAATGAGTTAGATTTAAATGACTTTGTCGAAAATAGATAACAACTTGGACCCAGTTTAAATCCAATTACACTGCAAAAAATGCACAAAGG